CCCTCCGTGTTCATCACCTCCTCTGTGCTGACTTTCCCGTGTCATCCTGCCCCTCTCTCTCCTGTCCATCCCCCCTCAGGCACTCCGGGTCTGTTCCCTTGACCCTGTCATTCCCCCCCGTGTCCATCACTGTCCCCTGCGTCCCTCCCTCTTGTGTCCGTCACCCCCGTGCCTGGTGCCCCTCAGGTACCCCCGTCTGTCCTTCCCCTTGAAGCCCATCACTTCCCCAGAGTCCCCATGTTTGTCACCCCCTTGTGCCCCGTGTCCATCACTGTCCCCTGCGTCCCTCCCTCTTGTGTCCGTCACCCCCGTGCCTGGTGCCCCTCAGGTACCCCCGTCTGTCCTTCCCCTTGAAGCCCATCACTTCCCCAGAGTCCCCATGTTTGTCACCCCCTTGTGCTCATCACTCTGCCCCAGTGGTCGCCAACGTGGTCACCGCGAATCCCATGGCACCCGCTGGGGCATTTATGTGCGCCTGCCGAGTGAGTGATCAGGGCCGGCCCAAGGCATTTTTGCACCCCGGACATGCGGCACATGTGCGGCCTCTGCCCCGTCATGCCCCCGGGTGCCTGGCAGCCCCAAAAGGTTGAGGACCACTGCTCTACCCCATGCCCATCTTCCCCCCCCATGCCTGTTTGTCTGGTGTCTGTCACCTTCAAGTGCCCTATGTCAGTTCTCCTCCTTCCCTGCTCTTCCCCCCCATGCCCATTCCCCTCAGGTGTTCCCCTTGTCTGTCCCCATCCCTATGCTCCCAGAGTGACTTCGTCTTGCCCTGACATGATGATGAGTCCACTTCGCTCTCCATGCTTCCCGCAGGACACTTGTGACTCTGAGACATGACCGACTGGTCTTTTGCCTGCCCTCCCCATTAAAGTCCTGGTGACAATGGCCATGTTCAGTATTAGACTAGCAAAGACCTTCAGGCTCTCACCTCCTGGGATGGAGAGGCAGGCTGTCACTCTGGCTTTCCAGGACTGTCTGAACCACATAGTGCATGCAGAGCATGCAGCATTCACTCTATAAATAACAGCACTCACCCTGAATATAGTGATTGCCAAAATGTTGATTCAGCTTTGGCTTTATCATATAATCCAATAAACAGTCTCTACAATAGTGAATTCTCTGAGCCCAACCATTCTATAGTGTAGGCGAGTCTTTTGTGTCTGTCCTTCCAGAGCAAACCTGTGGGGATAGACCTCCAATACACTTGCCCCGCATACTGCAAGTAGGTTGTGGCCACACATCTCAGGTGAAGACAACCAGAGCAGAGCCACTATGGAGTTAATCTGTCCTAAACTGACCATTTGGTAGTGTAATGCGTAATCTCACACAGAGCCTTCCCTCTTTTGCTGGCCTCGGGACAGGCCACCACACAGATATGACCAGTCCTAGGATGGAGATGGCAGATAATGGTATTGGGCTTCTGCAATTCTTTGTGTATTTGTAGTAAGCATGCTTTGGGCAAATGATGTGTGGGAAACAACCAAGACTTTCCACTATTCTCTTTCCAGAATACAACAGTCTGCAGAATCATGAATTCCAAAGAGATCAAATCTCAGGTGAGTGGTTTCTTGGGAACTGTTGGTACACAGACACACTAGAGAAACACAAGCCATAGGGAAGTTACTGTTGATCTTTCCATAAATGGGAAATGCAGCACCCAGCAGATACCGTTAGTCAACTTACATATAATGTCAATACATAAGCTCTCTATGGTGCAGTGAGCTAAGTGATTTTAATGTGTACAACAGTTCTAGATATTTAAAAAATATTGTAAGTCCTGGCCTGATAAAATATATTTTCCTAGTTCCTCCAAGTAATCTTGTAATTTAACATTGGGGCATTGTGTGTGTCTGATTGCTTGATTTGAACCTGTCATGGTGCTTGATATGTGGTCCTTTCATTTTCTTGGATTATGGTATTAGGGTTGCTGGTGGTAGTGACAGCTACTGCAGGGCTGCGCTGCATCTGTTTTGTCATGCATATGTATGCAGGGACACTGGCTTTGTAACGCCATGTATTGAGTCACATGGCGTTATTGAATAGTCAAGCAACAAGTGCTACATGCTGTAACCAAGCATGGCTTGCTTTTAATACACACACAACATGCATTTAGTGAAATGGCCTATGTACATTTTAGACATCTCAAATATTTCTGGGTAAATTGCAATAATGAACCTCATACTTACAGTGAAATAGTTTGATTCTGTGCCATACATTTTGCTTTGAGAAATATTTTCTTTGTTGATACCCCTTTGTTTTTCAGGCTGGCAGAGAAGTGCAGTACCAGCGTGTGGACTGTGTTATCACATCCGACAGAGAGAATGTTACTGTGACAGCTGAATTGCCTTTAATTGATTCTCAGAAGGTATACACAAAGGCTATGCTTCTCTGTCATTTCTTTCTAAAAATCTGCTAACTCACGTTAGGGGGATAGAATCTCTGCAAGGACATCTTTGAAATGTTTACCCTGAATGACATTTAGATACTAAGTTATTTTCTGACTCTGCCGAGCAAGGGTGGAGTTTTAATTGTGGTGCTTTCAGAGAAACTCTGCTCCTACCAGAGAGGAGATGTCATCTCCTCTAGTTATCCACTAAGTCTTGTCCTCCAGAGGATGGTACTTTCAGTGCTGCAAACACTGATTTTTTTAAGTACCAATATTGCCACATATCCAAACAGAGCAGGGGAATGCTGGGTAGCACAATCCTAACACATTATGGTCTCATTTGTGTGAGTGGACTTCAGTTACCTTATTTCTAACTCTCTGGGTTGAAAAACATCCAAAAAGTCTTAATAGACTTGGAGGTGAGAGATCTGAGATGTAGGAGGTGGAAATATTCCTTTTGTGAATTTCTTAAATTGATGAGCAGTCTCCATAACTAGGAATGTAAAATCTGGGCATCTTGGATGCCATCTTGTCTGGAATTTGGTCAGTCTGAGCTCTAGTATGAGTTTGAACACATTCAGTTGATTAGGATGCAGTAAAAACTGGCTGATGTAGTTGAACTCTGAGTCTGAAAAACCACTGTGATTATGGAAGAGGGTTGAAACCTCTTTGCTAGACTATGATAACGCCAGCTTTTCTCTGAAGAACTGAAAAATCTAGTAACTTGCTTTGTTTTTTCCTCCTTCCCTTGTAGTTTTTAAAAGACAGAACTGACCTTCTGGTCATTGGGGAAATCACCTTCAACAGCAGCCTGTATGTGGGCCTGAAGAAAGAGAATCACAAAGCTGAGGTATCCAAGCACCATATAGGCAGCTAAGGCCCTTTCTTAGGAAGAGAAGGAAGGAGGCAACTGAGGGGAAAAATGCAAATGTTTTTGCTGAACTTTAAAATGGGGTGGATTGGCAGAGCCTTTATTCACTGTTGTTAACAGGAATTTTGCCATTGAATGCAGTTGAACTGGATTTGGACCACAGAGAAAATTAAAGGCATGAAGAGAATGTATTGATGCACATAGAGAAGTTATCTGCCTGGTTGGGAATATGCCCACGGTATTCCTAGTCATACAGAGAACTATCCTAAATCCAGAAGATAATTTCTACTTGGAATTGTGAATATATAAATCAGCTTCAAGAAAATTTCAGTCATAATAGATACACTTAGGCATCCTCCTGGAAGCCTAGTTTGGGGAGAGGGGGGAGTACAGGCAATTGAGATGAGGCTATTTCATCTTAGATGTGCAGCATTCATATTCGCTTTTCATCATCTATTTGAATCTAAATCTCAACATTTGTATACATGCCAGGTGGGAAATTGGCCACTTGTTACAGTTATTTAATACACCCATTCGTCCATTCACATGCATCAGTGTAAATCAGGAGAAACCCCGGGTAAATAAGCAGAGTTGCATCAATGTATGTGAGAAGAGAATTGGGCCCCATTTATTCAGGCTATTAAAGTAGTGAGATAATCTCGGTTGGCAGTGACTAACTGTCGTACATTGAGACCGGTATCAGGGGTAGCTGTCTGTATCTGTAAAAACCACCAAGGCAACTTAAAGACCAATAGACTTATTTGGGCGTAAGCCCACAAAAGTCTTTGTCCATAAGATCTGTTGGTCTGTAAGGTACGATAGGACTCCCCATTGAAGTGCCTTAAGAGATACACTAGGTGGCATCAAAGTGATTATCAGAAACCGAGCTCTGTTCCTGCTCTGATCCTAATGCAAAGAAAGACAAGAGGCAGATATGGTGGTATTAGAGCATCATTTCAATAGATAAAGTAACCTATGTCGCTCAGCTGTATTGTCTCTATTTTTTAATACTTCTTTTTAGTTAGCAAATACTTTAGCCTTTTCCTACAACAGGTGGAAACCTTTACCCGTGAGCTTAGCTCAGTAGAACCTGCTTTCTTGCCAGCATTCCATCAAGAGGAGTTTGTGGTATTTGTGTTGTCTTCCACAAAATATGGCCACACCTCTGTTTGGAAAATGGGTGTATTTTAACATGTTAACTAGGATTCTGCTAATGTATTAAAGCTACAACTGCCTTGTCTTCATTAGTATTTCAGTAGATGTTAATTAACATGTTTTAAAGTATATCTTTTTCCCCCAGTGAAAACAAAATTATATTGTCATGAGTTGTCATTAGGGGATACTGATACAATCACAGGGACTAGTTAAGGCATCTGAGAGAGTTTAACTGGAAACAGAATGATACAGAATTAGCATTATGCACATTAAATGGGTTAAAACTGGCTAACTGAAAGGACTCAGATTGGAAATGGAAGTGTTATTCTAGTAGGTGTCCCTGGGAACTGGTTCTACACTACTTAACTTTTTTTTTTATCAATGACCTTGAAGAAATCATAAAAGTTTCTTGAGAAAGTTTTCAGATGACGCAAAGGTTGAGGGAGCAGTAAATACGAAAGAGGACAGGTCACAGAGTAAGCAGGGCACAAGCATATGTAATTAACTTAAAATGGCCAAATGGTAAAGTGTCTCTTCTGGCATTATAATCTGTGAACTCACTCTCTTTAGTTAAGACAGAACAGTTATACTGAAGCATTTGCTAAACCACCCTTGATTCTATTCTAGATCACACTCATCTTGTTGAAATCACAAGTAATCAATACCTTGCCTGTTGTCATAGGAAGCTCTGTTGGTGGATTTTTGCTGTTGGCTTTCATTATTTTCATTCTTTATAAGGTAAATATATTTGTTGGCATGATTAAAAGTACATGTTGTTTTTGTTGTTTAAGATCTGAGTAATCTAATGACCAAACTGCCCTCAGTGAGAGTTCGCACTCAAGTGTCGGTATTCTGATCTGTTTTACCAAGGGAGGGAAAATTCAGGACTACTGGGGTTCTCCCTAACAGTTTTTTTAGCAGATGAATTAATACATTTGTAAAGTTTTCCTGAATTATGAAAGAATGTCTTTTAAAAACAAATCCAGAAGGATCCCAAGGTTTTTTACAAGGTCTTGCTGGCTAGATTCCAATCCAAGCAAATGTGTACATAGCCTCTTAAAATTTCCCCCATAGTTTCAGCTGGAGACAATATTCATTTTCATTTCCTTTTTAATTGTCAAACAGCTACCAAGTTACATTCTAAAAGTAGCTTCATTTTAGTAATGCGTATTGTGGGGGAAGGGAATTCTAGCAAGAAGTGAGTCCATATCCACGCGCCTATGCCTTTTCAAGACTTTAACGATGTAAGGTGCTATAGAACTGTAAGAAATTATAATTGGGCAAAATTCTGAGCTCCTTTCTTAGCTTTTGCTCAGTTCTCAAACTTCCACTGAATTATTGTGATGTTAACTGAATCAGGGGAACTCAGAATTCAGCTCAGTGCTATCATGTATATGCACAAACACAGAGGGGACCCAATAAATATTTTAATGCTCTTCTTTATGTCTTCTAGTGTGGCTTTTTCAAAAGAAACTATAAACATATGATGGAGAAACAACATAATTCCTGAGGACCAGGCTGACAAGAGCAAGATTCTGTTCAGGAATTGCACACTCTTCCTGAGAGCTCTAGAATCAAAGACCAGCCAGAAGCAAAGCAACTGTGTGAGAGCTGGGATGGATCTTGAGAGCCCTGAATCTTGAGACTGCCATGGTTTGACCTGGGTTTAATTTAGGAACCTTGAACACTTGCGCGACCCAGCCATCTGCTTGTGCAGCTAGCTTGGATTTGCTAACTGCTTGCCAAAATTGGACTGTCTTAGATTGATAAACTAAAGACTTCTCATTTCAAATTTTGCTGTAAGTGTAAATATGCTGGAGAAAAATTAGTTTAGATCATGTAATTTATGCATGATCACATTCTTTGCTGTTTTGACGCCAAGTTGCTTTTAAGCGGACTTTAATAGCATGCAATCTCAAACTGATTTGGAAATAGAAATAATTTAATGGAGGCTCCACTCTGGTCATTCAGTTTGTGAATGAAGTTGGAAGGCATGTCAGACGCATGCACGCTTATTCTGTTCGATTTAACACACCCTCTCTGAGACATTATTCAGTTAGTGGGATGTGTTAATTCTTGCTGATTAGACTCATAAGTGTGTACAGAGGTGGCTACGTAAGCAAGCAGAATGGTTATAAGAGAAAGATTCTTCTCCCCAGACCCACGTTCTTGTAAGTCTTAGTAACTCAAAATGCTTTTATATTATTCATCGGGATCTTCAGACTCCCACGAGAACAATGGGTTAATTGTTTTCAAATTCTGGTTAGGTCACAAGTCAAAATCAGTGTGTGGGTCTCATGCTAGTTCCTGATGGACTAGTTCCACTTGAAAAATCCCTGCACCATGATGGCATGATTGGCGATGCCTTGCTCAGAAGAGGACTGGAGCTGGAGTGGTAGTGGTATTCCACATCTTGAGGCATTGGTTAGATCTGGAGTTGAACACAGCAGGGTTGTTGCAAATCAGGACTGTGATTTATTGGATAGCAATATGGAGTCCCCAAGACTGGAATAGCAGTGGGCGTTCCAGGTCAGAGGTAATTGAATTTGCAGAGCAGTTTGCAAAGGAAGTTTGCATAACAGCTGCCTGTCCTGTGATTGGCTCTAGCCAACACCTGCAGTCCTTGTCTTTTCTGAGCACTCAAATTAACCACTGAAACCATTTTTTAAAACAAAAATATCTTTAAATATTCCCACACTTGACTGTAGCTGTTCCTAACTCTGTAGTTTGCTGTTTTATTTCTGTCACATTTACTTAACCTAAAACCACAGAAAATTGAGTTTGAATTCCACCTGTCACTGACAGAATTAACTTAGATGTTCAGTATACACCATGTCCTGGGTAGCTAACAGCTTCTATGTGACCTGTGTTGGGTGGATTTTTTTAATGTTTTGGTGTAGCATTTCATATGCACTGTTTCATGGGAAACTAACAGCTACTGTTTGGCTTTTACTGGAGTGTATTTAATATCCTGCTGTAGCAATTGGTAGGATGGCAGAAGAGAGCATGTCTTTTAAAGGTTATAACAGAAGCCAGGCTGTGATTTGATGGCAGTGCAGCGTGACAGGAATCTGAGTTCAAGGGCAATATTTGGTCATCTTAGTCTACCCAGATCTGCAAAGAGAACAAGATACTTTGCAAAAGCACATCCTAATAGGCAGCTCACAAACCAGCAGTAGTAATGATTGTTGAGAAGACAGTATATCTGTTCCCTCCATCATAGAGTTTAAGCAGGAGTTTTGCAGCTGTGGTCCCAGGAGTTCAGAAACCAGCCAGGCCTTTGGTTAGGGCCACAGTTGGCAGTTCCAGAAGCTCATTTGTGAATGCTTGGGAAGAAGTGACAGACCACCTCTTAAAATCCCATGGAACATCAGATAAAAGACTGGCAGTTATTTTCTCTTTGGGCTCTAGCTGTGTGTCACAATATAGGATGAGCTGAGTTTCTAACTTCCTTTCCCTTTCTGTCCAAGTAGCTCTTCCAGGAGATTTCAGGCTCATGCCTTTACTTTCCTGGGACAGAATCCTGAGTCTCCCATGCTTAGATCAGGGTACTAGGTTACAACCCCCTGCAGCATACCAGCCTTCCTTACTCAGCCACAGGGTGTGACCAGCAGTGAATACAATATCACAAATAGCCTTCTAAAGCAAAGTATTATTTAATCTTAACAGTAGAAACACGACATAGCAGGGCAGAAGAATTAAAACAACAAAAGGCCTATTCACATCTATTTTACCAAGAGTCATTCCATCTTCTACATAGGAACACTAGTAGGTCCGTCTTCCTAGACATCTCCAACCTCTCCCAGATTGAAGGTATTTTTTCCCTCTGAGTCAACTGTATCCGTGAGAGCCTTTGTGTCTTTAAAACCTAGTGAGTCTTTTCTCCCCCTCACCCACTTTCTTCACCGGATTGAGACATTGCCAGAGAAGCCTGTTTGGCAAGGCCACAGGGGGGTCTGGCCAGAGTACTACAGCACTGTCCTTCAGATGTTTGTCCCTCTTTTCTGGGAACAGTCCTTGACAAACCTGATAGTGAATTATCACAATCTGTGAATATAGTGCAAATTTTTGCTGCATTCAGACAGATGCATAGCGCACGTAGTAGTTGTTATAGATTTATTGCAAACAAATCCCAAACCAGCATACTGTACAAGGCGGGTGTGTGGTCCTGCTGAGTCACCTATAATAAAACCACTGAGGGAAGCTGTCAATTCATAGATGTGAGCACTGCCTATGAAACAAGAAAAGAATAACTCCCAGCCATCTGATTTCTAGTTAATGTCAAAGGGAGTTGAGAGTACTCATCACCTCATAGGATCAGGCCATTAGATTGTGTCACCTTGAAGGCAGGCACCTGTTATCTATTTGTCACTGATCCACAGCTTTATAGTGCTGTGTGTTCTATAGCACTGTATACATTTATTAACAATAAAGGCAACATTATTTACTGCATCAGTATTTCCAATGGAAATTGATGGGCAGAAGATTATTCATTCTGGTTCACAGGCAGGAATCACACCCATAAAACAATAACATCTCTAAGAGAGCATTATTATATGTGACTCAGCTGGCCACATGCACATTTCTAGAGATCACTCAAACAGATAGTAACCAGAGAGGGAAATTGCTTCATCTACTGAGGAGGACTCACAGAATGATTAACCTTATCATTTTGTGGGGAAAATAATGGCTTAACATTGTCACTAATTACAGTCAAATTAGATGTATGCACCACTGAAAAATATGTACCGGAAATATTACAAATAGCTCTTCATGGAAGATATTGTGGTGGATGGGAAGTAATTTTCTCTTTTGCTGATTCCTTGTGGGTTTGATGCTAATCTGTTCCTCCCCCCTTCGCTTTCCTAGAATGGACTGTTAACCCACAAGAGACACTTTTATACAGTGTCTGTTACTGTCAAAGTCTTGAATTGACTGGAGACGCGAGATTAGTCCTAAATCCAGATCTGTGGCATATTGCACTGCCACCAGACTATGTAAATTCTTCCATACAAACTATCTCTGTGGAAGGCAGATGAGGGTGTTCAGTATGCGGTAGGTTTGGTCACAAGTGACAACTGTGAAATCAGCCAGAACAAGAGAAGATCAAACACAGTGATCGAACGTGATGTCACTTACACCTGAAAAATCTAGGTTAACCAGGTTAAAGTTATAACAGTGGGAAGAGAGAATCAGGCCCATGGAGCAGTGGGTATTGTAGTGAATATTGATTCTTCTTCGAGTGGTTGCTCATGTCCATTCGAATGAGGTGTGTGCGCGCCGCGTGCAGGGTTCCAGGAGCATTTTTTCCCCAGCGGTATCCGTTGGGCTGGCAGGTCGCCCCCTGGAGTGGTGCCACTATAGCGGAGCATAAGTACCCCACCGGCCCTCCCCTTCCTCAGTTCCTTCTTACCGCCTGTTATGGTTGTTGGAGCTTGCTGTCTCGTGCAGATCCCAGCTAGTTTATTGTTGCCATTGGCAGTTCTTTGTTCTTAAATAGTTGTCGTTTAGTTATTTGTTAAGTAGTTGTTAGGCACTTAGTAGATAGTTGTCCCACTGTTGGGGGACGGTGATGCCAGACCCACAGGCTTCAAAACTTGTGCGGCTTGTGCTAAGCCTATGCCCAGAGGAGACCCCCATGACCAGTGCCTTAAGTGTCTGGGGGAATCTCATCTCACAGATTCCTGTAAAATTTGCAGGGGGTTTAAGCCTCATTTGTTAAGTAGTTGTTAGGCACTTAGTAGATAGTTGTCCCACTGTTGGGGGACGGTGATGCCAGACCCACAGGCTTCAAAACTTGTGCGGCTTGTGCTAAGCCTATGCCCAGAGGAGACCCCCATGACCAGTGCCTTAAGTGTCTGGGGGAATCTCATCTCACAGATTCCTGTAAAATTTGCAGGGGGTTTAAGCCTCGCACCAAGAGGGAAAGATAAAGTTGCTCCTGATGGAGTCGGCACTCCAACCCGTGCCCTCCAGAGAAGTCTCGGTGTGTAGCGCACCGGCATCGATGCGGGAACCACATTCTGGCCTCCCCCGCACCACGGTACCGAAGAACACTGCACCGCGGCACTGTTCTCAGTCCCTGGCACCGAAACGGGTGAAGGACTCCAGAGGGAGATCACTCGGATGGAAGGTCCATAGGGACTGGCACTGACGCAGGCCTTCTCCGGCACTGTCCTTGCCTGTTCAGCATGAGGGGATACAGAAGAGACAGGAGACCTTGCACAGGGCCAGAAGCCCCATACCTATCCTGACCCATCACCCCTCCACTCTGGAGACGTTTGAGGCGGCTCATGAACTGATAGAGCTGACAGCCTCACCTCCTTCCCCCCTTTCCTCGGAAGGGTCTTTGACTTTGGTACCGGAAGCCTTGGGGGCATTGGTGACTTCCCTGCCTCCAGGGCCCTGTCGGGACACCAGCTGTTGTTGCCGGCACCAGGTGTACGGGGCCAGCCTGTATCAGCACTGCCATTGGAGGTGTGCGGGCGGTGAAGTCCCCCGCCCCGTCAACATCTGCGGCACTGCTCACGCTGCCAGCACCCAGCCCTGTCAGCCGTGCTGGCACTAGCACCAGCACCACAGGCACCGGCACCGCCTTAGGTACTGGCAACACAGGCACTGCTTCAGGCACCGTCACCAGCTGTGCCAGCACCGCTGGCTTCGGCTCGGCCCCCCGGATCGGTGCCGCCACACCAAGCGGGTTTCAGTGGCCCGGTGCCACAGTTGCCGCACCCGCAGCCCCGTGTGCACGCTGGGAAGCTGGAGTCTATGGTTCAAATAAAAGACAATGTACGTATTATTTCAACGCAGAGTGGGAAGAATCCTGTTGTTTTATTGACAATAAAGGGAAATGTGTTTGCTTATTGTGCGGTGGTACTGTTGCAGCGCTGAAAAAACATAATGTCGAACGCCATTTGCAAACTAATCACGGCTCTTTTGACATTAGCCATCCACTTAAATCTGAGTTGAGAGAGGTTTGATTTGAAATGATTAATTTTCTTCTATCTGCCCAGCAATCTGTTTTCACTCGATAAGTGGCAAAGTCTAAAAGTGCTACTATTGCTTCCTTTAAAATTGCTCTTCTGCTCTCAAAGAAGAAAAAACCCTTTCAAAATGGTGAATTGTTGAAGAAAGCATTTTTGACTGGTGCTGATTGCCTATTTCACGGATTTTCTAAGAAGCGTGAGATTTTGTCGGCAATACCTTCTTACAGGTAGATAAAAAAGATCAAATTCATATGGTAAGGTTAATTGCCGAATAATTAATACCTTTTATATGTAAAATTACCTTTTTTTTAATCTTATGGATTCATGTATTATGTAATATTAAATATGTTGTTTTTCATATTATTTAAAGTACAAATACAAAATAAGCCTTGAAAAATTGTTGTCGCCTGCCACATTGTTCTGAAAACATGAATGTGCTATTGGCCACAAAAGGGTTGGGAACCACTGATCTACGGCACCGCCATGGTCAGTGTCAGAGCTGTTCTATGAATCCGAGGTGGAATCCCTGCGCTCTTCAGGTTCATCTCGCCCGTCTTTGCGGTACCGATCTCGTTCTCGGCACCGACTGATACCGCAGGGGTTTGAGCAGACATGGCCACCACAGGTGCAGCAGCCCTGGCTCTCTTGGACACTTTGGGCCTACCACCAATGGCAGGGCCCGGTTCCGCCTTCCCGTTCGGCCAGTGAGTTGCGCAGGCGGTCCACACCGTCTGCCTCGTTGTCCCGAGCCCCGCCATCACCCAAGGGAGGGAGATTAATGTGTTACATATCCGCTGTACATACCTCTCCTGAGTTCCTGTGCTATGTTCTGTTGGTTGCGTTCTCGATTACAGTTCTGGTTCTTGGTTATGTACCCATGTAGGTGTTCTGTTTTCGCTAAGAGGTGGCTCCAACCCCTCCTCCGGTGGGATAGCTTGGAAGTCACCTCATTCGAATGGGCATGAGCAACCACTCGAAGAAGAAAAGATGGTTACTTACCTGTAACTGTTGTTCTTCGAGATGTGTTGCCCATTTCCATTCGATTCCCCCCCTGCCTCTCCTGCATCAGAGTCTCCAGCAAGAAGGAACTGAGGTCAGGGAGGGCTGTCTGGGGTATTTATGCTCCACTATAGCGGCGCCACTCCAGGGGGGCGACCTGCCAGCCCAATGGGAACTGCTGGGGAAAAAATGCTCCGGGAACCATGCATGCAGAGCCCTCACACCTCATTCGAATGGACATCTTCTGCTTTCTTTCCAGCAATCGGCCAGCCTCACAGTGTTTGGAAGTTAAGTTTGGACAGGTGTCTATTAATATTTCCTGAGAAGAGACCGAAAAGAAGCCATCAGTTCCTCCAGCAGGCTCTCCTTGTTTCCAGCTCCCTTTGCTCCTCACCCAATCTCTCAGCACCTTGTTACACTCGTATACTCTTCATTTCACATGGAAGATTCTACTGCTGTGCAGTGCTGCATCTACCAAGGGGGAAATCTACAGGAAGATCATAGTTGGTAAGTGTGGAGTAAGAAAACACCTGATATACATCTCTTGGCTGCTCATCTAGTAAAAGAAGGTTATTTGTAAAGGGACATGCTTCAAATAGTTGAGGTCATTTGATCAAGAAGAAACTATGCCTGATTAACTCCCTGTGGACGCTCTTATTCTGGATTAAGAACGCCTTTTGCTGATTTAGCTTAATACGCTTCTGAAGTGGATTAAGTTAAACAGGAAAGAGGCGCTCTTGTTTTGGAGTAAAAGTGTTCATGTAAGTGGATTAGTCCAGAATAACTATAGTGCTTTAAATTCATATAATATCTTATCCAGGAATAATTTCTCTGTGTGGACAGATTAATTCTTGCTGCAGTAAGGTTTTCTGTCCCCAAAATCGGCATTGGTAACAGATGCATCAGAAGGCGCAAAACTCCATTTTTTGCTTAAATGGTTTGTCCAGTAGAGTTTGTGAATGTATAAGCACCCAGATGCTCATTAAGGAGACTTGTGGGTAAAAGTACTCTCCTTTGTGTAGCTACATTTCTATCACTATTCTCCTTTGTGTGACACTTAAAGCTCTCAGGCTCCTCTGAATGCCAGAATAGTTGCACACAAAGAAGGTTCCAGAGGAGGAGTTTTGAGTTGGAGGGGTTTCCCAGGGAAAATCCTCAGGGGTTAGGGGCAGGGAGAGGAACCGTATTTAGTAGTTTGTTTTGAGTGAGATCCTGGAGAAATATAGAGGCCAAAGGCAGCTGCTACTGGGGACAAGGCAGAGGTCTCTTTCCCCGGGGGTTTCTGAAAAAGGGGAGTTGCCTATTTGTTACCAAGGAAAAAAGCCAGTGTACATGTTGTTACTAAATAAGCCAGTAACAAAATACCTGATTTCATGTCACCTATTTCTGCTCCAAGCTGTAAATTGACTTGTGTGGCCCTGCAATCTGCTCCTATTCTGCAACGAGCAATAGCTCAACAACACCCTTAACAGTGCAATATTATCCTATGGAGGAACGTGTGAGTGGGAGAAGTTGTTGATGAGGAACAGGCTACGCCTTGAGGATGTTTTCTGTTGGTGTGTCATGACAGAAGCATAAAAAACAACCGTTTTAAAGTTTTTCCAGTTACAGGCTAACTCAGCTACCCCTTTGAAGCTTTTGAACATTACAGAAGCAGTTCTCTTTCGGTGTGTAATATTTCTTTGCCATTTGTCTTAATGACATCATGCATCAGCCTATGCGTACACCACAGCACAGACTGATGCTCCGAGATTGATCCACTGGTGGTAGATTTAGCAGCTCTAGTTAAGACCTGACAAATTGACTGCAGATCGCTTTGCAGTCAACCTCTTTATTCTACCCCACACAAGAAGAGTAAGGGAAGTCAAGTCAATGGAAGTGTAGACCCCACGGTGACACAACCTAGAGTACATTGATTCCAGGAACATGAATAATATAGCTGGAGTTGCATAGCTTAGGGTGACTTTCTGCTCTATTGTAGATGCAGTCTCAGTGAGTTCCACAGTTTAATTCTGTGTAGCTTTTTAAAAAGTAGTTCCTTGCATTGGCTTGGAACTCACTGCTATTTAAATTCAGTATGTATCCTAATAATCTTGTGTTGTGGGACAGGATAAAATCCATTCCATTCATTATTATATCACCTTGTTCTCTTGTCCTTTCCAGTGTCCCCTTATGTGACTTCTCTGATGCCACCAGTCACTTTTTCTGTCTCTAATGCTGTCTGTGAGGAGGGAGTATGGTTCTAACAGAGCCTTTTGAAGCAGCTTTTCTTTATTAAATGCATTATAAGGCTCCTTGACTTGTAAACCTGACATGCCCCATCTGATGATTTAATTCCCCACAATTGCTGCTGCTGTAGCAGATGCCAAATCCATTCAGAGTGATTGGATGGCACTAAAGGGATTAGCCAGAACTGCCAAGATCTTATAACAACCCAAACCACAATCCTGCATTTCCCCTGTAGAAGCTTCGGTGTCTTTTTCCCCCTTCCGTTACAATAAAGACATCAGAAAAGAAGTGACCAGCACAGAGGCTTGTACATATATCGTCTCCGGGAATGTGGTTATAACAAGCTCCAAAATCTTCACTTCCCCCCATCCTGCAGGAAAGGCAGTGCAGAGAAATTATTAAATTTTCATTTTGTATGAGCTGACTGTTAATTCAGTTGATTTTCTCTTTCTCTTTCACATACACACACGCGTCCCTGCCAGACACGTGA